AAGAATATACTCTTGTTATTCCCAGAAACGATTTGTTACCTCCATTACACATTAAATTGGGGTTAATGAAAAATTTTGTAAAAGCATTTGACAAAGAAGGTGATGCGTTTAAATATCTTAAACACGTTTTTGCAAAATTAAGTGATGCAAAGCTCAAGGAAGGTATATTTGTCGGACCACAAATTAGAAAACTACTAAGTAACCAATACAATACTTTGATGAAAAATCAAGTAATGTTGAATTAGTTGCGTGGAGTTCTTTGAAAAGAATTGTTTCGGAGTTTTTTAGGGACCATGAAAGAAAATTACGAAACACTTGTAGAATAACTACTTGAAAACTACTGCAGAATGGGATGTCGCATGTCTCTCAAAATCCATTTCTTGCACTCCCATTTGAATTTTTTCCTAGAAAATTTGGGTGCTGTCAGTGACGAACAAGGGGAAAGGTTCCACTTAGACATACTGACAATGGAGCAACGTTACCAAGGCAGATGGGCTGCAGCAATGATGGGGGATTATTGTTGGTTCCTTATGAGGGAAAACAATGTAACATATAAACGAAAGTTAACATTTGCAAAAGGGTTATGCACAAACGACTTCATTTGAATGCTTTTTCATGTAAATAGTCTGTTATTTTCAAAATATATTGTTTTTTTTTGTTTTGATCCGTACTAATAATATTGAGGAGAAAGTGAATTTATTGAGTGAGATTATATTAAATTTGTTTGATATCCATGCTCCGATGCGAAACGCTAGAGTCACTAAAATAAGGGCACCTTGGCTCACGAATACTCTGAAAATGATGATGAGGCCAATGAGAGTATTATAAAGCTTTGCGTAACGAGATAAACTATGCAATCAAATGTGAAAAAGCATATATTCAATTCCAACTCGCCCACGTTAGTAGTAATATATGGAAGGAACTGAAAAATCTGAACATTATTACTAGTAGTAAGAGGTCTCTCATTCCGGACAGTTTAACTGGTGATCTCAATGTACTGAACAGTAACTTTATTTCTGGTACAGGTTAGAATATCTCTGACAAACAAACCGTCAAATATTTCTCCAATCATACTTTGGAGAATATTAGACAGCTCTCGTTCTCTCCTATTGCGGAATTGAAGGTTCAACAAAGTTACTTTCTATCAAATCCACTGCCTCTGGCCCAGACAAAATTTCCGTACTGATGATCCTGTATTGTATGCTGCCTAATTAATTATGTTTTTCCTTCTGTTTGGAAACAATCAAATATCATCCCATTGCCGAAACAACATGATGTTACAAGCATGAATGATCTAAGGCCTATACGCATACTCTGCACCCTGTCAAAAGCTCTTGAAAAAATAATTGACGAACAGATTCGTGAGCACGTCCTGATGTACAATGTTCTTCCACACCACCAATCAGGTTTCCGTCCAAATCATAGCTGCGCCACTGCTCTCCTCAAAGAGACGGATAACATATTCTCATATATAGATGCAAACAAGCTTTGTATTCTCGTACTTCTTGATTACTCAAAAGCTTTCGACAGTATTAATCATGAATTGTTGTTAGCTATTCTACACTATATAGGCGTTTCTTCATCAGCGCAGCAACTTATTGCTGCTTATCTCGGTAAACGTACACAAAGAGTTATACTGAACTCTACATCATCAGACTCGATCGAAACCTTGTGTGGTGTACCTCAGGGATCAATATTGGGACCGCTACTCTTCACTATTTACACCTCTCCATTCTGTGAACATTTGAAACATGTGACATCACATTTCTATGCGAATGGCACGCAGCTGTACCTCGCTTTTGATGAAAAAGATATTGTTGCTGCCTGCAATGAAGTTAACAAGGATCTNTTGGTGGCCTGGTTTTCGTGAGGCTGCTACGGATAGTGTTACCGGATCTGAAGCAGGTTCTGATGTTGTATTTGGAACCAATTGTTCTTATCCTTTCCGATAATCCTCTGATGTAGGGAAGTGCAAGCACTGGTGGTTGTGACGGCTTCTCTTCCTTGTGAGGCTCCTGCTATCTTCTAGCCAAAGTCTTTTTTTTCTTCTGGAGGGACCAGTTCTTGTCACTGGTCCCTTCACGTGGTTGCGTGAAAGAGCGCTATTCTATCGTTCTCATAAGGTAGAAGAGTGAACGATGCCATTTGCTACTCATTATCAATTAACCTTGTTCTCTGTAACTGCTGATTGTGTAGTAATAAAAACATTTATCATTATTATTATATTTCCCTATAATATGTGAGAGTTTTTGTATAAAATAAAAATAACTATAACTCAAAATCTTCAGGTGATGGAAATTTTTTTATATTGAAGACGCAGTCAGGATGCTTTAAACTCTCATGCATTGCCGCAATTTTTTTTTCTTATTTGTTGGCTAGTGATTATTTAAAAAAAAATGTAGGATGTGAAACAAATCCAAGAGGGCTGGGATACAGAAACATTACAGGTATTCGGTGTATTATTCATTCAAATAGTGGAATGACAATGAATTTATCAAAAATGAGGTGTGGTGAAGGAACATATATAGAGCGACTGAAAAGTTCGGAGACTAACACACGCTACTAGCGTTGAATCCATATGCTTTTTAGTTAACCCTAACCTTCAAAAGGCATGTGTACAAATTTCACAACTATTGGACTATTAGTTTGTGATATGGAACATTTTGAATGAACCAACTTTTGTTAGTTTGAAGAAGGATAAAAAGTAATTTCGTGTATTAATGAAGCATTACTCTTCGGCGAATTGATGAGTCTGAGTAGTGTTTGAAGCTGTTGCACTTGTATCGCCTACATTATACAGGGTGTTCCATCTCAGACGAGCCACCCCGTATATATCTTATCCCATAGTGAGTGGAAAACTTTTTTGAAACACGTCGAATGATTTTGTTTGGGGAGCATCTTTTGACGTATATTTCAGGCTTGAACGAGCAACTCCCTAATAGGGGGTTGCGTCAACCTCTCAAACTTGAATAGGGGAGAGGGGTTGAGTGATACTTTATTTGAAAAGTCTTGGAAGTCTCTTTACAACGGTGTATGAAAAACGTAAATTTGATGAACCGTTTTCGCTAAAAATAAATTTTGCAGCTTGAATGAGCCACCTTGAATAATTTGGTTATTTTTGCAATTTACAAGCCCATTTTTATTAAGCCCTTTTTACACAATTTTAAATCTTAAAAAAATCACATTCTTGAAAAAATTGAATTGTTTTATCATCATGCTTACAATCAAAAAAATCAAATCTACGTGCTCAAATCAAATGTTCAAATTGTCCTCCATTGACTTCCATACAATAATTCACAATTCTTTGGCGTAGTTCGTCCAAATTTTCATGGTGAATCACAAAAATCTTGGACTTGAGATGTCCCCACAAGAAGAAGTCCAGAGGGTTCAGGTCAGGAGATCGGGCAGGCCACTCCAATCCAACGACCGGGGTATTGCAAATTGAGGTATTGGCGAACTGGTGCGGCGTAGTGCGGAGGAGCTCCGTCTTGTTGGAAATGCAATTGTTGTTCAAGTAGTAGAGGATCGTTTTCTAATTGCTCAGTTATTAACGGATAACGTTCGCCAGTTAAATTACCTGGAATAAACAGAGGTCCAAATTAAGTAGTCTCCCAAAATTCCTACCCAAACGTTTAGCTTTTCTGGATGTTGAGTGTGAGCTTCTCGAAATACTTACATGAAGATTTGTATCGCTCCAAATTCTACAGATATGCCGGTTAACCTCTCCATTAAGTAAAAAGGTGCATTCGTCAGAAAAGCATACGTTCTACAAGAAATTTGGGCTATTGTTGATACGCTCGGCCATAATTTCGCAAAACTCCTGCCTCCGATCTCAATCATCATCATTTAATTCATGAATTAATTTAATTTTGTACGGATGGAACTTGTGTCTATGTAAAATTCTGGAAACGTTAGACTGACTAATACCGGAAACTGCAGAAAGTTGTACAGATTGCGTGTTTGGCATAAGTTGGACATGTTCCAATACCGCCACAGCTGCTCCTTCATCATTCACAATTCCAGTGGGTGCCCTTTTTTCATCCATTACTGAACCCGTGAACAAATCAGCGAAGTAGTAACTCAACAGATTGATTTCAATTCTGAAATGATCGAAGAAACGTTCAACTAGATAATCACCTTCTGAGCACAAAATAATTAAGGCAAGATAAGAAAATGTTTTGCTGTTTTTTTTATTCATTAGTGTGAGAGAAAGTATTATTGCATGGAAGTCAATGGAGGACAATTTGAACAAGGGGCTTTCAAGACCTTTCAAATAAAGTATCACTCAACCTCTCTCCCCTCTCTCCAAGTTTGAGGGGTTGAAGAGCCCCGTATTAGGGACGTGTTTCGGGAAAGTTTTCAACTCACTATAGGATAAGAAATATACCTTAATTTGATCAAAATATGTGTACTGTTATTTCCAAATTCATAGAAAATACCATACCTGGTACAAAAATTTCTTTTAAATCTCAAAACAACTTAAGTAACTTTTTAGTAAATTCTAAAGACAAAATCAACAAATTACACAGAAGTGGAGTCTACAAGCTTATTGATACTTCCTGTTGCCTGACAAGTAAGTAATCTCAAACAATTTTTCCAAATTTCTTAACTTTAAAAAAATTTTACAACTTCAATTATCACTAAATTCCCTTTTCAACTAGATCACTTACTCTCAGGTGAGCACTGATGATGACGAAAGTCGAAAGCGCTTTGCAAGAATTTTAAAAATTATACACTTCAATACAAAAGCCTCTTCGATTCATTAATATACGGAGTGGCTCGTCTGAGATGGAACACCCTGTATACAGGATTTACTTCTGTGAAGAATCCTGTACTGACACTTATCGGATGTAATCCAACGCCCTTCGTGGTATTAGCCAAGGAAGTAGTTGTTTTCTGATAGGTGTCACTCCATGCAAGTCTCTTCAAGTATGCCCTCTTACTCACTGTGAAAAATATTGTTTTCAGTTTCTAACATGTTTCTACTTTCTACTTTTTAGAAATGACTGAGGGATTTGATGAAGAAACAGCGAGGAACATGTGCCCGGCAACTAGCGAAGGAAACATAGGGACCACAATTCACCAAAGAATCACAACAAAAAACAATAATGAAGAAAAAATAGAAACTGCCAGTGAAATAAATACCAAAACTGAAGATTTTGTACCTCAAATACGATGGCCAGATACTATAGTGCAACTTTTTCTACATATAGGATGTTTATATGGACTGTTTTTATGCCTTGTCTCGGCTAAATTTTATACGACGTTATTTGGTGAGTTGTGTGACTTTTATTAATAAAATCAGTAGTGGTCAAGATAAGAAAGTCTATCATGGGAATCCTGGAAACCATAAGTGTTACAAATATGTTTAAAATAGAGAAAAATTGCTCAAAAAAATTCTGATTACCTCAGAAGATGTATATACCAAAAAAAAGGTGCAGATTTCATTTTGAATATTTTAAGGCTACAATTCATCGAATAAATTACCAAATAATCAAATGGAGTAAATATAAAGAATATTCAAACAAATAATCATTATTTTTTGAACTGCCGAACTCGATAAACTTTTTAAGTGGTTCAAGAAGCGATCCTTTAAAGTGATAAATACTGATCAACTCAATTAAAATACATGGTGATTCTAACAGCAACAATTACATTAGCCTTTATGTACCCCTATAGGTAATGATTCAGTTACTTGGCTTGATTGAGTACCTGAATTTGCAATTTACAATGCGGATGTGCCAATTTAAAAACCGGTGAGTACTAAATCGATTTGATCATTCAACAGGTTGCACCCGCAATGTTTATGCTTGTGAATTTCCAAGGATTCTAAATAATTGAGTTTGTAACCTTTTCTTGCATAGTGCAAAATTTCCGTATCGTTCAGATTCGGGAACTTGTGGTTGCATGCAAAGGAATGGTTTGAATCATTTTTTCCTAATCTGAACGACCTTTCATGTTCAGCATACCATTTTTGGAAATTTCGACCACATTGTCACACATAAACACTATTACACTCCGGACATTCAAGCTTATTAATAAGCTTAATAAGTCAGTGGTGCTAGACTGATTTAAATATGTGTTTCTGAATTTTCAAACATTTTTTTCACTCTTGAACAAAGCTTCACAGCGATTAATGAAATTTTTCTACTCTGCTATCACCGTTTCTGTACTCATTTCATCCTAAAATCACAAACATTCTGTAAGGTCTTGATATAATTTGTCGTGGCGCCAGAAAAGCTCTTTAATCAGTTTGAACGGGCGTCCGCTGCCCTTGCGACGCCGAAGGCCGACGCCCTAGATATGATACGACGCCGACGTTATTTCATCAAGCGTTTGCACGTGTTCGGTCAAAATTTCAATAGAGGTTTTTGAGTTGATTCTACGGAATCACAAAGGTGAAAGAATGAACACGAATGAATGTTAAGTCACTGATAAAATCTGTGAAATTTTCTGAAAGAGTAGTTATATTGAATTGAAACCTTACAGTTGTCTATCCAAACAGGGTGGAAACTAAACCAAAAGCAGGGAATCGTCCATTACTTTACATTTGTTTTGTTTGTTTACATATGTTTTAGGTAAATTGATAGAGTGAGTACCTAATTAGAAAGTCTTAATTGTGATTATGCAGGGTATATAAATATCAGAATGAAATTTTGGTACTTAATTCACTTCGAAAAAGCTACTTTGTTAGCGAAACAGGTCAATTATTTTCATCGATGTTTTCTAAGCACATGCGTTGTTATGAAAGAGAGAAAACTTTACAAAGTACCCTCTGTTTGTTTTGCCTACTGAAGCGGTAACCTAAAAATGCTTAAAATCAGATGAACACAATGAATATTTGTATAGAAATTAAATCTAATTGCTGGAAAAGAACGGTAGAGCATGTTTCCTGTCATTTATTTTGAAATGTGTGGTTTAGATAATGAAGTGTTTTACAGATGTGGGTTTTCGAGCGTGAAAATACAAACAGGGATTTGAAATTTCTCTGTGTTATACCTAATTTCGCATGACTACGAGAATATTGCCTGGTGCAAGGCGGAAACAATTTAGAATGAGAGTTCTGGTTTCAAAATCAGTTGTTGAAGTTAACGATAAATTATTTTCCTTGCTTGTTGGAACCGTTGTATGTGAGGAAATATAACCGAAGGACTTGACTTTCGTGATTTGGTTATGATTTCAATTCTGCTGTTTCCATTTGCCTTACCTTACTTCATTTATATTACAATTGACAGGGCCAGGGAAAAAACGTTTATGTCCATTATTCGTCGGATTTGGGTTAATGGTGTCATTAAACCTACTTCAGACTGAACCTTAGATCTTATATTCGTTTCGAGGAAATGAACGTTCATATCATCTGAATAATGATGATTGGAGTTTTCATGTCCAGGGAAAGAAACGTTTAGGCCCGAGAACACCACCAAAAAAACCACAATGTCCACGATGCAACGTTTCTCCCTAAATGGTACATAGTGTTGACCCGATGATTCGCGCAAAGTGTTAATAACCTTATCTGTATCTGTAGAATAGGGCTGGTGAGTGTGAGCACTTGGGCCACATGTGACCCATTGTACATCCTCCCGAGAAGTTATCCTCCTAGGTCATCGTCCATCCTGTCCTTTCCAGGAAGGTGGACAGGTCACTGGGATACGTCTCTTTTATATCGGCAGGTGTAGGTCCAGACTAGCCCAACACACAATCTCTTATTGACGATAACTCATCTTCCTGTTCACACATCCTGCATAGAGGTGTGTTCACTAGCCCCATATTATGGAGGTGTTTCCTTAGTTGACAGTGGCTAGTCAGAAATACTACTGTTAAGCGTAGATTTTTTCTGATCATCGCCAGATATTTCTTAGGCGCAATCCACACAGAACAGGTGTATGGTCGTGGCGTGAGACTGGCGTGGAGCAGAAATGGAGCTGCCGTGGAGCGCATAATCCACACAGAACGGATGTATGGCGGTGGCGTGGGGCTGGCGTGGAGCGCACAATTCACATAGCAAGGGATCAAATGTGATTATTGTCATTTATCAGTTACGTACATGTCTGTGAAGTGGAGTTAAAATGCTCTCGGACGACGAAGATGACCAAGATATGTTGAACCTTATAAATTTAGCTAACATTCAAAGGCAAAGGAGATACTGGATACATCCCTTGTGGTTAAATTAAGGAAAAACTGGTGGTTCGTTCAATGTTATGCGAGAGCTCAATATGTACCCTGAACGTTTTCAAAGTTTCTATCGAATGTCAGTTCAGTGTTTCTATAAAATACTAGCTTTAGTGAGGGTTAACATTGAAAAGAAATCTACAAATTGAAGGGAACCTGTCAGTCCGGAGGAGAGGTTGTTAATTACGTTAAGGTAAGTTGAAGAAAATATATTGAAGTAAATTTATTTCTGTTTAATCCAAAACAAATACAACCAAAAAAAAGTTATTCGAAAGTTAATTATTGATATTAATTATTAACTATTATATAACATCAAAACCATTAAAAGCGGATATATCCGTATACCAATCTACAGTTCGGCGTTTGGAGTTTTTCTTTTAATGTCAGGAACTGTAATTAATCAGGGTTGTTTGACTTTCTTTCGCCCACCCTGTATAATTTGTAATGTAAACAATAGTGTCAACATATTTTGTTAATAAAGACGTATATACTTACCATTTTCACTGAATTTATTTGAAATCTGTTCCCATGCCTTATCTTGCGCACTTCTGATGCAGTAATCTGATCTTCTGTAATCGTATAGAACTGCATACTGTTGCACTTCTCCACAAAACTCGATATAAAACGCAAAAACGTCCCGCATTTTGCCAAACAGACAAACAACGAAAATCACTGTATGCCACTCGTGGTGTAGAAGTGACGTGGCGGTGGCGTGACTCATCACGCCTGTGTCACGCCATTTCTATCTGTATTTCCCCATAAGCGAACATGCAAGTGGTCAATGCCTCTACCACGCCAGTCCCACGCCACCACCATACACCCGTTCTGTGTGGATTGCACCTTAGGCGGCAGCTTCCCAGGGTCGCCCAGGGTGATCCTGGCAAGACTGCATCCTTTGATTCCATCCTACCTCTTTAGGGATTGAGCATGGGTGTGACGTTTGGCTAGTTCCGCATTTGTCGGGTCCTAAAATTCTTAGTTCAGCCACTTCCTTGGTTAAAGAGTCGCCAATGCGATCACCTTTACTCCTGTCGTGTCCTTTAATCTACCTCAGGATAATATATCTACCGAGGTTTTGAAATGTTAATGAAAAGCAAAGTAAAGCCGTCACGTTTTGTCATCGTTAACTGTGGAAAAGATATACAGTTTCAAACATGGACACAATACCTATCTGGAATGTATAGAAAAACATTCCCCATGCGAATGAGATCAAATCGGTCAGAATTGTCACAGACCAATCGGTCGATTACACAAAACCTAAAAAACTAAGAAAAAGAAAGACATCATTGCATCGACGACATTGAACCCTTTGTATTCCGGCCCAATTGCAATTGAGTTGGATAAATACAGAGATCTTTTCAACAAATTTCACAACCCAAATTTCACTAGCTTCTCGATGGTAAACTTTATTTTTCCGTTTTCACAAAATACATACATATGGATATAAACATACAAGCTAGTGTTCTGATTTCATTGAATAATGTCCTTGATGCAGTATATTTTTTCAAAGGTGGAAAACGGAACATAAGCTCAGGTAATTAAATTGATTACAGACTTAGGTAAAAAATCAGGTACTTGAAATTCAGGTACCTCAAATTGTAGAATAAGGTATATATAGCATTTAATGTGTAGAATTAGTTATTAAGACACGCCCGAGGAAGCCATTGTATGGCGAAACACGTGTTGCGTTTTTGTAAAACTATCTAGTGAAAATCACACAAATCAAATGTATCTGGAGCTTCTGGAAGATACTATTAATCCCTTCTCACTGACATTATTGAAAACGACCACAATTATCGGGAGGTGCCCATTTTGAGCATATGCTAACATGAGAATAAAGTGAGTAACTTCAACTCTAAATTGAATATGGTTCATCCAAGTTCAAAAAAATGTACACCGTTCTTTAGAGAATTCCAAGTTCTTTCAAAAGATGTGCGACTCACCCCCATTTCCCTATTGAAATTCCAAGGGTTGTTCACCTCTCTGCTCCGGGGTTGAAGTGACGACGCTGTAAATGGGGATAAAACTGTCCCCAAACCTCCATGTCAAGTTTTCGACGGTCCACCCTGTATTAAAGAAGAAAGTAATACAAATCATGAAATTA